GTGTGTGTGTGTGTGTGTGTGTGTGTGTGTGTGTGTGTGCGAATACCTGGAGATGAGATTCTGTATGTCTTTGCTCTCCATGCATCTTTTTCCAAGTGTGATAAGTCTTGTCTCTGTCAATGCAATCGACGCTGCATTCAACAGCAGCACTTCCCTCTCTTCTGGCGGTGCAGAAAGCCATCTTCCCGTCTACAGGTTTCCAGCGCGTTTGAAAGTGAAGTCTTTGTTCTTCAGGGTCTAATCCACAGTATCGTACTTTATTGCATCTTTTCTGACTGTGTACATGTTGTAGTTGTTGTTGTTTTCCTGATGAAATTGAAGAATTCATATTGCTGCATTGCGGGTCTCCCCAATACCAAGGGATTGATTCTCTGCTATTACGATGAAGCCAATCCGTCTTCTTACGGGTACAAAGAGAAAGAGAAGTTAAACGACCTGTGCATACACCTGCTGCATCAGCATCTGCTACTGCTTGCGTTAACGGGCGTCGTTGTCCTAATCCCCCAGCAAGCTTGTCAGATGGCTTTCCTGCGAAACCCTGCAGATAATCACGGCGCTTAATAGCCCTTTCCATCTTTAATTAACCTCAAAAAAGGAAAATCCAAAGAAAATACGGAAATTATACGCTGCAGAAACACCCGACTGAGACTATACCGGAGGAAAACGATATCAGAAAACGTGCGAAGAAGGAAATATAACGGGTTTCGGAGAAGATACAAACGGTAGTCGGTATATATCCGCGCGATACTAAAGGATAAATAAAAAAGAATTCAAGTGATATGTAATATAATATGACGGGGATTTCCAAAGAAAGAGAAAAGCACGCAGTTTTCCTGCTGCTCCACAACGAAACCTGAACACCAAGCAACGGCTCCTGAACGCTCACCAGCTGCACCTATGGGGGTAAAGTGGAGGCTAAAACCGGAATAATACTTCAATTTTAATTAGTTTAATGATTCTTTTGGTATAAACACCAAAAATTCAACAAAAAAACGGCAGATCGTCAAACGGTAGTCGGCAGTGGTGGTCGGCTGTCCATCGAGCGTTGGCTCCGATGCGCGACAGCGCGACGCTTCGACAACAGCTGGAAAAAAAATGAAAAAGTTTGAATTTTCGGCGGAATTAATTCAAATAAAGCAAATGAAATAAATTAACTTCATTGAAATGCCTCAATATTCACCAATTGTTCCACTGTTTGCTCTTGAGTTTCCTTCGAAAGTGCAATCGCAGCCACAGATGGAGGGACGGTGGAGGTCGATGATCTGCCGGGGCGTTCAACTTTGCCGCTGTTTTATTTGCATGCATTTCGCAGTTTATTTTATTTTGTTTAATTTAAAAATCTCTTAATATTTTTTATTTGATTAAATTTTTCCCCGAATTCAGTTCTGGGTTCTTTGCTACCCATAGATAGCTGCATTTATTTGTTGCTTTCCCTCTTTCAAATGTCTATACGCCGATTTGTATATTCAACTTTTGTCTTCGCCTACTGAAACGGATTTTATGAACTCCAGCAAAATTCTTTTTAAAAATGCTTGTTCTTCCTCTTCAGTTTTTTACGATAAAGTTTTGATCGAAACAAAACAAAAGGGGCAATTTATTAAAACAGGAAATAATATAAAAAGACAAAGCGGCAGACCACGAAAACACCTGAGAAAAACATGGAAATTTTGCAGATTAACTAAACCCAATTCTTTGAGTTTTTCTTTTGTTTCGTACTCAAACTTTTAATGAGAAGCCTTCGGTCTATTCTCCCTCCAGAGGAATAAGGTTCAATCGGTGCCGAAGTACGTACACCTGTATGTGTCTACTACGAAATACCCGCATTTAGAAAACGAAATTATTGCATGCATCTATTAATAAATCCTTTACAATATACATGCATGGCCATACGTCACTGCAACAGATAAAAAGAGGATCACAACATTCAAATAATAAGCCGCCCGTTTCGATTATTTTAATATTTTGTTTGCTGATGCTTTCTTAATATTGCTTGCCGAGATTAAATACTTCTCCTCTCCGTTAGAAAGAGATTTGACGCTCTTCTTCTTTCTAGTCGGAGGAGCCCAGAAAGCCAACGCTCCTGCAAGGGGGAAACGGGGGCCGCTCGAGAAATTCTGCTGCTGTTGCTTCTGCTGCTGTTCTTGATGCCCATGCTACTGCCGATCCAGCTACTGCTGGTGCTGATGTGCTGCTGATACTGTTGCCGTTCTGGCTTCTGATGCTGCTACTTTTCAAGTTGCTGCGGTTGCTGCCGCCGTTCCTGCTGCTATTGATGGTGCTGTCGTTCCTGCTGCTGCTGCATGTACGTGTCGTGTTTTTGCTGCTTCTGCTCTGTGGGCAGCATTAAGTTAAATAAATACTGCTGCCGCTTAGTACAGTGGTGGCTGCTGCCTTCGTGCATTCCTTATTCCAATGAGGGTGCTTTCTTTGGCCACCGCAGGAGGCAGAATCAACAGAGGGAACGAAGCAGAGAAAGCACATGAGGTGCGTGCTTTCAGAGGCCCATAGCTTGAAACTTCCCTAAAAAGTAAAAATATAAGAGATATAATCAACGAAATTCAAATGCCGCAGGATTATTTATGTTAAAGATCCTATACGCAAGAAACGGAACACAGCACAGTGGTGGCGGCATTTCCTGCCGCCTTCTATGGATATCTTCTTTTATTTCCTCTATACTCGCGTTAAACAACAAATAAATCAATAAACGTGCAATTACAGATTTTACGAACGCTTGTTTCCCTAGAATATCTTTTAAATGAGGGCTAAGGTGTGCTCGATGAGTTGAACGGAATCTGCAGTCTCGAGGTGTATAGGCAACTGCTCCTGAAACCACTCTGACTCCCATTTTGTAGTTTAGACGGGGTGAACTTGAATAAATATGACGATAGTTTTTTCTTTTCTGTTGCAGGATGAGTCAATAATATGAGGGTTTCCTTTTATTGTATTGATTTGTCATTCTTTACTCTCTCCGTCTTCCTATTTCGTTTGCATTTCCTGCTTGCACTGCACAGCATTATCCCTTTCGCTTCTGCTTTGCGTTCCTCTGCACCTTCTGGGGTATTGCAACTCGACTCTTTCGGACGCCCTGTGCATTTGTCGGGTCCCGGGCTAATATGGAATGTACCGACTTCATCACCAGTTGGTTTACGCGGAGCTTCAACTCCTTTTTCTCCTTCAGTTGCTCTGCCAGACTCTATGGAGCCGAATCTGCACTACGGCACTCTGCAGCTTAAAGATGGGACTGTCTTAGACAGGTCTCCTGCTATTCCTATCCCTTCTCCTTCCGAAGGCTTACCAGCAACAGGTGCTGCATTAGACTGCATTTCTGCTGCTGCTCATGCTGCCTATACATGCGTCAACTTTAACTGCAGGCGCTGTTCCTCCTTCTGCTGCAGCAGCAGCATATGAAGAAATACCCCCAGCCCAACTTGCTACTGGTTCTATGCCTAACGTTTCGCAAAGAGCAGTGCCTCCACAGGCAGCCCCTCTTTCACCATTGCCGTTGCTTCCGATGCAGCCCCTGGCAGTTGCTGCAATCCCTACCTGTACGTACACCACTTTTCTCCTCTTACTATCAGCAGCAAATGTGTGTTATTTGTTTTCCTTCATCTATTCTCTTCAGTTGACCCTGCTGCAGGAGTGGGGGCTAGGGCTACCAGCCTTAACAGGGTCTTAGGCTCGCTACGAACGTCAGGCCTCCCTGCATTAGATCTTCCCGAGTTTAGTTTGCCTATGTTGCAGCTGCGTCTGCCTTGGGCCTTAAAGGTACGCCTCATATTAACAGCAGCATTACCTGCTGCATGCATGCATGCATGCATTGAGAGTGCGTATTGAATTCAATAACCACCACAGGAAGCAGCAGTAAATCGTCTTTCATTTACCCTCTCTTCTATTTCTGCAAATTGATATATCTTCGCCGATATTGCAGATTCAGCAAACCAAAGAAAGTGCCGCCATAGCACCCCCGGTATCAAATGAATAATTAAATAAATTTATTTCATTCATTTCTGTTGTTTTCTTCGTTCATATTATTCAATTGATATTATTGTTATTACGATTTGTTTGCTGCCTTCTTCTTCATGCTGCACTTGATCTTACCTTCTAGTTGTTGTTTGAATACTGTTTATATTGAATATTATTACTCAACCACTGACTTCTTTTTTATGCTTTGTTTGCACTTTTATTATTATTCATTTGTCCCTTTTAAGGCTGTTTGATAATTTTTTGTTTCGTTTCGCTCGCTGCTATTTATTTATTTATTCATCTTCCTCTCCTCCGTTTGCTGCTTTAAAGGGTTGTTGCAGTTTTTCCCGTTTTCTCCCTCTTATTCTTTTTTGCTCTCTTATAAATTATTTTCTATTTTTTTCCTGAATAATTTACTTGTTATTTTGCTTTTGTGTACTTATTTTTTTGTTGCAGAAAGACGAGGCGTGCGATCGAGACTGTGAGGAGTCCACTAGCGGCATCGAACCGAGCGAAGCGAAAATAGAGAATAACTTCGTTTCATTTCACAATTTAAACAATTTAATTTAATTTAATTTAATTTAATTTTTATATCCTTTCAGATTTATTGCAATGCCCTTCGGGATGGAAGGCTAAGGGCAGCGACGAATGCACAGCACCGTCAGACTACGCTGGTGGTTGTCCTTACGTGCTGGTGAGAAGAAAGGAAAAGAGGAGCAGAACGAAGAATAAATAAATAAATAAATAAATGAAATAAAGAAATAAAAATAAAAAATAATAAAAACATTTCTAACATCTTTGTTGTTAACAGCGCGTTGCCGCCGCTTCAACGGACGCAAAACACCGTATGGAAACGGGTAGGCAACTCTTTTACATAAAATGTAATACGTCACGTGCTATATATATATATATATATATATATGTTTATATATGTCTATATATATATATAAAGTATATACACT